AGAAAGAGCATTAAATTCTCATTCTAGTTGACTACTTTTGATTGTCTTCTCCAACCTTTAAGTCAAAGATAATTGAAGATATATTTTTTGCAAAGACTTATGACACGCAGGTTATTGTACAAGTTATAATTTAAAATAAGTTCCAAGAAGTGCATGATTCTATCATTTTTACTTGAAAACGTATTTTAATAATATTAAGATTTTGAAGTAATATGATGTTTTAATTAAAAGACATTCTTCATTCTAATTAATGACATACAATTATTTACATATTAATTATTATTGCAAAGAACTTTGCATAATTAAAGAGATGAAATTTACATATCTTCTACTATGCGTCAATATATATATATATGACGTTGCTTCCTTCATATTTATCTGGCATAGAATTGAACGCGTGAACTCTCTTGTTTTTTGTTTGTTTTAGTACACATATTGGGTGAAAGTTAATTTTTGCTCACGGTATCATCAACAATTTTTTCGCTCTTAACTGTTCGTAGGTAAGCTAATATATTTAGAGTTTCGCTTAAAGAAGTTTTTCTTTTTCGTGAAAGATAATTTTTCGTATCCGAATAAGTAGTAAGTATAGTTTACTTGATCAAAAATAAAATTAATACAGAATTTTTGCTCAAAATGTTACTTTGTACGATAATTAAAATCAATCATATCGAAAGTCTAAAAGTAGGTGTTTGTCTTATTTGATTGAAATTAACTTTTAGATTTTATTTCAAATTGATGTTATTCATTTCTGCCCTACAGTGACCAAAAATTTTTGTTTATTTTTAATCATTATATAGGACAAAGTGATATCTATCTACTGCGTACATTTCGATATCCGACACTTATCTTTAAAAGTTGAAAAAATTTGAAAAGAAATCAAATTAACGAAAACCATACGTTGTTTCATATTTTTCTCACACCAACTTGTTCATGAACTTATAATCTTATAGATTCTACCTTTCAGTTTTTCTTTCTTTGTTTTATACACATTGAAGACTATCCATTTTCCTCTTTCGACTCAGGCATTAAAAGTTATCAGATATGCTTTGTATAATAACAGTCATATTGGTCTATGCTGTTCAAAAATTAATTCCTGTTTAAATTAGTAGAAAGAAATGTGTAATTATAAATAAGAGTTCGTATATATTAATATTCAATGAAGAATACTTGTTGACGTCGAATAATTTAAGCGAAGAAAGAAACAAGCTTTATAAAGATGAGATTGTTTTTCCTTAATTAATTCCGATATTTAAATAAATAAAAACTACGTAATATACCATCTCTTGTTTACTATTCAACATAGATTAACTCTAAGCAAAAATCAAAGTAAATATTTTTTATCAATTTTTAAGATAGCTAATTATTTTAACAACAAAATAGTTATGTATTCAGAAGAAAGTCTATCACTCCTATTAGGATTAGTATTTCATTTATATAATACATAATATAAATATCCCACTAATACAGTTTGATTGACCAATGCTCAAACAATTTTCATTATAACTTTTAAAATAGAAACGATTTGAGAGAAATTTCACTAATAACTATCGTTTTGATTAAGAAAAAATTGCAGTTCTCTATCATTTTTTTTCAATATATTTATACATTTAATCTTTTTCTCCGGAATAGAACTACGAAATTGTAATAGAAAAAGGGAAGAAAGACATACAGCGAATTAGGATAGATGTTATTTTTTTCAGCATGCAAATAAGAACTTCGCAACTGAACTTTAACTCAAAAAAAAACGAAACTTAATTATTTAAAAAAATCACCAAGAAGGATATTCTTTCAAGAAATTTTCAACTCCTTAGTAAAGCTTGAATATCCGAAAGTGAATTAGTTAAGGAAAAAATTCTTCAGCTTTGAAAATAAAACTCTTTGCAAAGCACGACCAACAAGGCGTCACATTCGTAACATACAGGATATCTAAATGTTTGAATTGACGTGTACAAGCAAAATATTCTTCCTAAAAGTGAAATTCTCGATCTTTTGGTACACGAAGGAATATTCCGTATCAACTTAAACATGAGAAAAATTACATTTACATTTATACCAATTCATTGTGTCTCATCCGTCATTATTGACGAAATTTGCATTGGTAATGATAAATGGTTAAAAGAAAATACTTTTCATTAACATATAATTGAACTAAAGACTAGTACTTAATATGGAAAATAATTGACCAGAGTCTTTTACAAAGTGAATATAAAGACAAAAAGAGTCGCTGAGTAGAACATCCTGTCATAATTATCTCACCGTTAAATATTCTATATGTTATTAATTTGTAATATAAGATGATATGACTGTAAATCTACATCTAGCTGTTTCACTAGACTTTGTACTCAATGATCTTTAGTAAAATAATTAGATCCAATGTAAAAAGAACATTTTATAAAGTTTTAATTAATTGAAACTTGCAAATGATACAACTCTTAATCGTATCCATCGCATGAAATATGGAGACTTAATAGTAATAGAAAGTAATCTATTTTTTCTTATTTTCGCATTTACAATGCACATTTTTTTAAAAGTTTTATCAATCTTTATGTGTAGAATTAATCGAATGAATATCAATCATTATAAGTAAAGAAGAATATTATGGTAGACTTTTTTTAAATGGTATATTAAAAAGAATGCGAAAATCATTTAAGTATTGTTCAAATTTATTCAAGTATGTAATTCATTGAAAAGATATACGTTGTAATTCAATGTAGTTAGATAGAAGTAACAACCGATAGCAAATGTATCATGTTACAAATATGCGTCATTATAAATATAGGTGAGAAAAATGCAATTTTATAAAAAGTTTATTGAACTTTCTTTTATAAAAAGTAGTAATATCAATCATATTCAACGCTGAGCTAATTGATATGTCAGTGTGTAGATGCCAATCATTGTGTCAGTACTCCTGTTTGTTTTCTTTTTAACTTCTTATTATTACTAATCTTCATTAAAAAAATGTGAAAGAGTAATTGACTCTTATTTTTTGCAAAGAAATATTTTTCGTATATGTAATACAAACTTGAAGTCTCGGTTAGAAAAATTCGATTTACATACAACTCTATTCATAATAATATGTAAATAGCAATAATAAGGCCATTTTTCATGTTATTAAATATGTAATATACGTTAAGATGTAACATGGTACTATCTATCTATTTTTGCGTCTTTTCTATCTTAATAACAATGTTTTACTGATTAATCTATCTTTACTTTGAAGATAGATTTTATTTTCAACATGCCTCTGAGCAAAATTATTTAAGGATAAATTCTTGTAAATAATATAAGCTATTATTGACGCTAAAAGGTTGCTTAATCATCAGTAAGTAAAAACTACTCTATGGTTCTATGTATCCATCATAATAAATCAATGGTTATGTCAAGAAAGTAAAGATGTTTGATATTAGTATGCAAGTAACAAACTCGAGACTTCCTATTGAATTCGAACTGAAAACAATTTTGTTTCTTTCGTTTATTTCTTTGAAGAATAAATTTAGTTATCTACTGAGTAATTATTCAGTCAATTAGTATACGAGTGTGAATAGATGGTTGATACAAATAATTTATTTTAATTAATTCAAATAGACAAGAATTTCAACAATGACATGTTGTTTTTTTTCTCTTTCTGTATAAATACTTATTCTGATCATTTTCCATTTCGTTTTAAATACATTTGCTTTTTATTGTGATCAAAAAGAATTTGAATACTAAAAGAATTATGTATATACGTTTTGTAACTCTACGTTATTAGACAGGTTAGGATATAATGATAAATGAAAATGACATAATTAGATTTATTATTAATATTTGTTTTCCATGCACCAACTTCTAGATTATTAATAATATCTGATAAGAACAGTGAATGAAACATCTAGGACTATTTGCTATTAAGAATTCAGAATTAGAAATAGACACGTTTTTGTTTCTTATAAGAAAAAAATTAATTAGGAAAATCTGTCTTTTTCTTTTTTTCTTATGAATACAAGTGTTTCTATAGTTTTCTTATAATTTAGATATGTTTTCTTTTTTCTATAGACAATGTTTAATAATTATGTAATTGATAATACTACATTAATAGAAAGAAACTTTTTACTTTTAACACATGTGCGTCTCATTGTAAAATTTTATATATGGCCATTATTTGTTGTATTTGGTTTAACTGGTAATTGTTTATCAATACTTGTTTTAACACGACGTCGTCTTATACGAACAAGTACAAATAATTATTTAACAATATTAGCTGCATTTGATTCATGTTATTTAATATTTACACTTATACTT